CAATTGTAGAATTGGAAGACTCTTGTAGGTCATTTAACCCAACTCCCCAGTCAGGGCTCAAGGTGAGCACCTCCAGGAAATGGATATCCAGCCCTCAGTTGGAGATTTCCAGTAATGCAAGACCTCCTAGCACTCATCTCTATCACTGAGTTGCTTTCAGTATCAATAGGACTCTTTCTCCCAATGTATCATGGAATTTATCCACTTCTAACATAAGGTTATAAAATCTAATCCTGCCCTTCAGGTGCTTGAAGAGTGCTCCCATGGGTCTCTGAGTCTCTTCATCTGCAGTTAGTAACCTGTTATTAAAACAATGCTGTTCTGTAGCCCACCATGAAGGATGATCTAGGACTGCAAGTGTTTTCCACTTCTTCCTCTTCATCCGTTTCCTACACCACTACCTGGAGGTTCTGATTTTAAGTGCATCATGTCTGCGCAGTGTATGCTAGCATTTGCACTAGTCGCCTGCCACCTACACAGTTGCCTGCAGCCATTTCTTTCTTTTTTAATAAGGCCTGTCTGACGCAGGACCCAGTCCTCCACTGTATCTTCCTTACCCCTTCCAGCTCCATATATGGGGTTCCTTGTGTCAAAGAGTTAGACCTGTTGGAGGCTATAAGGACACACAAGAGAGTGAACTAGATTATTCCTGAATCTCAAAGCACTGAACATGGTTCTCAATATGCTTACAGATGTATAGCAGTTGGAACATCAGTCAAAGTTTTTGCTTTAACTAAGCTGTTGCATCAATTGTTTAATCATAATTTGTGCATAGGAAAGTCAGATCAGGTTGTTTAAATCAACACAAAGTTTACAATATATTAGAGCTTACTTTTTCAGTTTAATACATATGGCATACTGGGCTGCCACAGTCATATTGTTGTTTGTACAATATAGCTTTCACAGACTGTTCGTTTGTGTGGTAGCTGTTGTTGAGTACATGAAAAAATATAGCATGTTACTATATGTCATCTATGAAGGAGTTCACCGTCAACTAATGTTCTGTTGACTGAGCAGAGACTGGAAACATTAGTTTTAAAACAACTCCCAGAACCCCTTCTGAATCCCGACAAGCATAATAACCTTCATACTGGCCAGGTAGTACTTGGAGTCATAATCCGAAACCATAATATCTCCAATAATATGTAATTTGTATGGATGACAGGCGCTACCAGGAGGCTGTAAGGACTATTCCATCAGGGCCCCCAACTTTGTGTGTGCCTCCCACGCAATCCAAGTACAAGAACTCCTTAATACATTTAAGTGAAATTGTTAGATACACTAATAGAGGGCTTACATTTGGAGAATTGTAGGAAGAGAAAGCTCCCCAAAGAGAGTGTTTATTTTCTCCTCCTCCCCCTCCCTCCCTCGCCTCCGTCAAGTCAGTTTTGACTCATGGCAACCCTTTTCTAGGGTTTTCTAGGTAGAGAGTACTCAGAAATGTAACATTGTTGATAAACAAAATGTATATTTAATACTGCATATTTTAACAGCCACGAGGATTATATATGCACAGTACTGGAAAAAGGAAGGAACACCTACGGATCAAGAAATAATTAAAAAGATATTGGACTGCGCCGAAATGGACAGACTAACACTGAAAATCAAAGGGAAAGCAGATACAAAATATTATCAAACATGGGACTTGTTCTATCAATGGCTAGAAGGACGTTGTATAGATTAGGAGCGTAATGTGTGTGGTCGTTGTTTTAACAAATGAATATAAGCTGTACTCAGGTGGCACGATGTTAAATCAACATGGATTGATTTTATATAATTAAAAAAATCTCAAGAAGAAGAAGAAGAAGAAGAAGAAGAAGAAGAAGAAGAAGAAGAAATGTAACATTCCCTTCTTCCGGGGTCACCCTGAGACTGTGCAGCTTGCCCAAGGCCCACATAGGCTGGCTGTTCCAGGATGTACAGTGGGAAACTGAACTCGTACCTCTGGCTCCACAGCCAGATACTTAACTCACTTAGCTGTAGGGCACAGTTAAAGATTCAGGCACTTTGAGACTTGTTTTTCACTTATTCAGACCTCTCAATAAGATAAATATCTGAATTTTAGTAGCGTAAAAAGCAATTTCTGGGAGTCATTAATAAAACTAAACAGAGAGGTGCTTGTAAAAGATGGGCTGCAAAACATGGATAACTGTCTGACTCGGCTTCAGCAATCTCTGAAATTCTTGAATTAAAAGTTGAGTCCATCCCATTTTTCCTCTATCCGTGAAGGTTTCGATTGCAAAGATGCAAGAAAATTAAAATACGTTTCTATAGCTTTCTTCCCTCCAAAATGTGCATTTTGCACGGATATTTTTATGTTGTGCATATTTTTGATGTGTTGTGTATATTTCTCTTAATGTATGCATTTTTGGGGTACAAATTTCTCCAACTGGATACATTTTTTATCAAAGCACTCAGCTGCAAAATCTGGAGAAGTGCACAAAATGAAAGTTTATTTTGTCTCATCCACTTTGTACTTCAAGAAGTGTAAAATGGGTTAGGTTGTATTAAAATGCAAATCAAATGAATGCATTTCCCCATCTTTATTATGTATATGTTAATGAGAAAGTTGTAGTGACCCATAGGAGGAGGACCAATTCTCATGTTTTAACTAGTGCTTAATTTCCCCTTCTATCACATCATGCAAAAATTGGTTTATTTCTTTGAACGATGTAACAGATGGAATACCACAAATGCTGTCATCTTGTCAAATTCTGGCCCACCTGCTATTGTTACTCATACAGGCAGCTCACTCATGTGAGCTGAAATAGTTGTCTAAAATGTGCTATTTTTTTGTTGTTAACTGACCCACAGAGCAGAATAGATCCCAGTCTACATTGTAATTCCACAAATTATTCTGTTTACGGAGAATGCATTGCTTCTCAAGCTGTATGTTTTATCATCATTTTATGTTTCCCAGCAACCAGGGAGAATGACCATTGTTCCTCTGTCATGTGGCAAGGAAAAACAAATGATTCTGAACTGGTGTTGAAATTTAGTGTGGACAGAAACACTTCAGCCTCTTTTCTCACCCCTGAAATATTTTAAATAGTATTCAGGTGATTGTCTCTGAGCATGTGCCACGTCTTCTTTTGCTATTCCTATTTGGAAAGAACAGGCAAAATGCTGTTGCTTAGCATAGTAAGTTGCACTGAAGTAGGCCCATCAAATCAATGGGGATTTAATGGGTTCCCTCCTCCATACTCTGACAAACCTACTGTAACTTCAACTTGATATGTCAGAGTACTTCATGATTAGAAGAAGACCACTTGAATCAATGGAACCCACAGAAAAGTTGATTCAACAAATCTCCACTGGTTGTTGTAGGTTTTTCGGGCTGTTTGGCTATGTTCTGGAGGTTTTTCTTCCTAACATTTTGCCAGTCTCTGTGGCCAGCATCTTCAGAGGACAGGAGTTAGAACTCTGTCTGTGTTCTGGTGTGGTGTGTAGGATAGTTGAATATTTGTAGCTGTGGAATCAGCTTTCAGGAGATTGGGTGATTATTTATTTATTTATTTATTTATTTATTCAATTTATATGCCGCCCAAACTACCCAGAGGTCTCTGGGCGGCTTACAATAATTAAAATTCAATATAGCAAAAGATAAAATAATTAAAATACAATTAAAATACAATTAAAATTGCCATCAGACCCACAGCTAATATAATTTCAATTAAAAGCCTTCTGGAACAGGAAGGTTTTGACCTGGCGCCGAAATGTCATCAGCGTCGGCGCCAGACGAATCTCAGTCGGGAGGGCATTCCATAGTCTGGGGGCAGCTGCCGAAAAGGCCCTTTGGTGATTTGAGTGTTTTTTGTTATGGGTGTATTGTTGTGATAAGGGGGGATGATCTGCCACTGTGATTAATGTGTGTCATTATCTAGTCTTTTGTGTGCAATGTACCAGTGTTCACCTGTCCCATAACATTTGGAGGCAAATGTTATGAATCTGAATTAATAAATAGCACAAGTAACTGAGCATGTATTGCCTGCAGAAATCATGGCATATTTTGTACTGAAGGCTATGTGACTTCCTTAACAAAATCTGCCATTAGTTAGCCAATTTCTTGTAAAAGATTATTACTCTAATTTTATGGAAAATGCTACCATGGGTTGAATGAATCACTGAAGCTAATGAAACCTAACTGTGCAAAGAGTGATCTCCCAGAAACAACTACTATTATATTACCTCTCTTTCAAGACATCGTAAAAAAATTATGCCATGCTCCTCTTAAATAATGTTAGCAATCCTGTAATAAGCTCTTATAACCTTGGTAATTTGATAGAAGGGAGAGAGACGAGTTGAAACATAAATATGACTCACAGAGGACTTATTTTTAGGAGATGTTGTACTGCACTTGTTTTTCCTGACTGCATAGAAATCCAATGTTCTTCTTGATCTTAAACCATTAGGTTAGAATTCCTGTACTGTATTAGATATCTGTTCACATGTTTTCCTCCTGGGAAGTTCTGTTTATCATACTATAGTTAGTGGAGCTGCTCTCTCAGAGAATTACTTGAATATGATATAATTCATTGAAGATAAGCATTCATTTGTGCCTTATAAGCTTATCATTATACATGTTATATTGTATTATGTGGCAGGATCCCAGACATACAAAAACTGAGCTGGATGCAAAAAGCAAAAAATAATTGCATTGCATTTTCTGTTTAATCAAGAAATGCAAATTACATTGGTTTGAATTAAAAGCTGAACCAAACAAATTTCAATGCTGTCTTAAGATAAATTAAGCAGTGGTGATATATGTTTCCTCTGTATAAATGGCATTTACTTATCCTGGTGATTGGTAAAATTTCTTTTTCCTGATTACAGTTTCATGCTGCTTTGATTGTTGTTTCATTGTGCTTCCAGTTTGTATATGCCTATGAAGCTTTCATAACCCCCAGTAAATGCATATATGAGGCTTATGGGGGTGGTTAGACTTGCGCTTGAATTCTGTGTTCTCCTAGCTTACTACTGTCTTCTTCTTCTTCTTCTAGATAATTGATAAGAGCAAAAGGGATCCATCTGAAGAAATTGAGATTCTTCTGAGATATGGACAGCACCCAAACATCATCACTCTCAAAGATGTAAGTAGTTTCTGAAGTCACCATCTGGACACGTCTCCTAATTACCAAGCTAAACTACAGATAAATAAGTGCTCTTGCCTGATGAAAGAATATGAAGTCAGTTCCAGATGCATTTTGTGAATTTTCTTGGTTCATAGTATCACTGGATTTGTGTGCATTATGTGTGTCAAGTTGCATCCAACTGATAGTAACTGTAAAAGAGTTTCGAGACCAAGGCCAAGATCACAAATACTATTGTATTACCAATTACTATATATGGATGTGAAAGCTGAAAGAGTCATATTTTGATTGACTGCCTAAAGGAAGCAACAGGCTTGTGTTTACAAGAGCTGAGCAGGGCTATTAATAATAGGACATTTTGGCATTTACTCATTCATTGTGTTGCTATAAGTAAGAGGTGACTTGACATTATATAACAACAACAATAGGGTTTTCCAGGTCCATAGGATATTTAAGGTGTGGTTTTACCAGTGCCACCCCCATTTTGCTGTTCAAATGCTGTTTTCTACTTGATGAGTAGCACAGGGATCTCTACTCCTTTATTTAGTATGTCATGTAGCCAGAAAACTGTGTCATGTTTCAAAGACCCTTAAGTTAACTAAAGGATTGTATTGAAAGACAGACATTTGCTAACCTGTAAAGAAGTAGAGAGCTAAATATCTTACAGCAGTGACAGATTTAGATCCAAACGTTGTCTTTACATCATATTTATTGTGGTTCTGCTGTATTTGCACACTAAGACCACATTTTAAAATTATTGTTAGGCCTGTTCAGCTGTTGTAAAGTTAAAACATTTCATGCAGTCTACAATTTCCATAAAACCTGCTCCAGAATTTATTTATTTATTTATTTATTT